GTTCACGTTTCCGGCATTTAGGTGGCACGGATGGATGAGCGCGTGCATGCGTGCAGATTTATAGAGTTGCAGCGGGAGAAGAAGTCGGAGCCCGGTTTGCTTGAACCGCGCTTCCGTTGATATCTACTGCAGCCGGGTGTTTTGTCGCTCTAATGTCTGTCGGCGAGACAGAGTCTGACGTTGCAGACGATTTCTCTTGAGCGGTGAGGAAATGTGTGCGCATCGCGACGCGATGCCCGTTCACTGTGCATCTGTTGAGTGACATAAAGGAAAAAAAAACATTGAAGATACGCGGTTCTTGTTTGGCGGTAATAGTCGGGCTGGTTTCTGTTCGGAGTGTATTGGGGGTTGGTAATTATGCTGCACTGGGCATGGAACGGGGCAATTTGTGGTTATGCCGATAATATTCGTTTCTTGAAAGGGGGCATGTTGAGGTGGGTCTTTCTCAGCTAAGAGGCGCATACGCTTCATGCGCCTACGTACAGAGGCGTTGTGGCAGTGCCTTGGTTGGGTCGCAAACGCTCTCTGTTTGGCCCAGAAAGTATGCGAACAGTCTTGCCGACAGTTTGGGAGGTGCGCAGAGGTCAGTGGTGTGCAACGTAAGCAGCGGCTGTGAGGCGTGCTCAGGGCATGCGGCTGCTCTGGGCCAATATTCTAGGTGCACGTGATCGTGGCTGCAGTATTACGGCAGGTCATCTGTGCGTCAGGGGGATCGCGTGCTTCCCAAAGAAAAAGGTGCAGTGGCAGCGATAATCTCATTTGCTTAGCACACGCATATAAGTAAATTCGCGCTTCATGCATTTCAGTGGCAGGCATAGATGTTTATGTGCAGGCATGCGCATTTATGTAGTTGCAAGTTGAGACGATGTAGGAGCTCGTTTCGTTTTGACAGCATTCTTCTTTGGTTAGGAGCTAGTGTGTTTCTGCGTCACCGCATACAATTGGGAGACAGAGTCGGAAATTGCGAACGATTTCACTGAACGCGTGTAACCGCGGATCTGCAGTGCAGTACACAGTTGGAGGAAGCAGTGACTGCCCGATCATTTGTGCCAAGCATTTAGAAGCATTCACAGCTACTTGTTCGAAATGTTGCACGGATATTCAAGAAGCTATGCACATCTATATACTCATTCATATCTACGAGCATGTAGTGATACACTGTGATTGCAAGAACGGTAAACGCCGTGAGAACCAAACAGAGGTGAGCACTGTGCACGCGTCTACGGCCAGCTCGTGGCAAACGCTTCTCTCGCGTGGCGATCGTCCGCTGTCTTGGCAAGAACGGCGCAAACACCAAGAAATCAGGATTGTTAAAATGCGGAGGTTCAGCAAGCACTATAACTTATGGCAAGTCTGAAGTACGCGAAGCCAATACATCTTCATGGCGCGTTTGTGGGTATTGTTGCGTTTCAGGATGTTTGAGAGCAGACAAGGATGTGCATGTGCATGCGTGCACATTTGCGTCGGAGTGTGAGAAGCAGCTTGTTTTGTTGTGACTGGGATTGTATGCGGCAGTCACTGGCTCGTGCTGTTTCTGTGGTGGGGAGCGGTGTTTCGGCACTGCGAAGTGCGCTTGTCAGGCAGATTTTGACATTACAGGCAAATTTGGCGAATGCGTAAGGCAGTGCATGGGAGATGCAATAGCTAGTTGGAGACTGCAGCGCCTCCGCAGTGATTTTTGCTGACCGCTTAGTGGTATTGATTCACATTCCGCTTATATATGATGGTCGTTGTTCTTCTGGGTACGGCATTAATAAGGGGCGAGCCGGTGCCGACGGCTGGGCCAGCCCAAACTGTGTTAATACTGATAGCGCCTGCAAGAAAGGACGCTGCAATTGTAGCTCACTGTGTTGCTGATGCGTAATACAAAAGCGAGCGGCGCCCATAACGCAGGTAGTGTTTCTGTTTCGGCAAGGCCCTTCAAGGTGTCCTTGGTTGGGAGTAGCTACAGTTTATGAAGATGTAACCGATGCGCGTTCGAGCTCATCCCACGGTGCTTAGTGCACCAACATAGTTGGCCGAAGCAAGCGGTAGAGAGGCCTTCAGTCTGCACGGATGTGATATTTGCCGTATGGCTTGAACATGCTCGATTCCACGCCCGCTGTGTAGCGAAGGCTTCTCTGGCGTTGCGATCATTCACCGCTTTCTCCAGACATCATGCACACGATAAGGATTCACGAGGAGTGGAGGCACTCAACAGTTAAGAGAACTCATAGCAAGTCTCCCGTGGGCGAAGCATATTCATCTTCTTAGAGCGGTCAGGGGGACCATTACGATTCAGCCTGTATGTGAATGGGCGCAGATATACGGAGCTGAAGTATGAGAAGATGTGGGAGCTAGCCTTTCCTTATTGGTGCTCGTCTATAGTACTTACTGGGGCGGCGTATCTTGGCGCTTCGTTATGCGTTTGCGAGACAGAGTCCGACACTGCAAACGATCTGCGTGAATTTGTGAGGGAGTACACGTGCAGCGCAATACGCAGCGGCGACTACAGGGTGACTTAGCAAACGCTCAGCAATAGTGGCATCCAGTGCAATTTTGTATGATTGCAGTGGTGCTACGGAGAAGCAGAGTCGCGACGGACGAGCTACGTTCGACGGCACGGCCTACACGAATGGTCTAAATACCCACTGCGCCCGCGCAAGCGAAGGCGGGGCCTGCCTCTCATTGCCTAGCTATTGGGCGGGATAAAGCGACGCCGACAGCGCAAACTGGTTTCACTGGTTCAGCGAGATCAGTGAGCCTACGTTGTGCTTTAAGGAGAGGATATTAATGAATGGGGCATTGACTGTTGTTCAAGCTCAGCAACTCACGGCACGGTGATTAGTTAACTCCGACGCAGTATGGAGGAACACAGCTCAGGCCCTTCTTCTGCATTTTTAAGTGGTGCTTCCTGTACACCTTGAATATTTGCGATTCAGAGTGGCCATCCAATAGCGATTCGAATATGGAACGGCTGGTTCCATGCTGCACACGTTTCGAATCGCTTTTGGGTGACCACTCTGAATCGCACATATTCAAGATTCGAGATAAATGCAGGCGACGCCGACAGCGCAAACTAGTTTCACTGGTTTGGCGGTATCAGTGAGCCTACGTTGTTCTTTAAGGAGAGGATATTCGTGAATGGGGCATTGATTGTTGTTTAAGCTCGGTACTTCATGGCACGCTGATTAATTAAGTCCGATGAAGTAGGCAGGAACATCCTGTAACTTCCTGTACACCTTGAATATTTGCGATTCAGAGTGGTCATCCAATAGAAAGCGGTTCGACAAGTGTGCAGCATGGAGCCAGCGGCGTTGTCTCGCAGATGCCATTGAAGTTCCGTTTCATTTGCATGGCCTGGGTGAACCCAGCTTCAATTTCCGAAAGGAGTATACAAAGTTTATGCCGAAGAGGTAGGGGGCCTGCAGGTGTGAGCACAGTGGGCGTCTGGACTTTGTGTGCGCTGGCGGATAGGGCCGCAATGCGGCAAAACCTCTTCTGGCGTGACTATCGCTGAATGGTTTGAACGGAGTGTGCGCCCCTCGAAATGATGACGTTTGTTTTCGCGACAGTTGCGGACACTGTTGCGGTTCAGGCACTGTGAGTGCGGGCATGGCAGCTTGCTTGCATGCGGACAGACGCGTTGAGTTGCGGTGCAGGAAGAAGCGGGAGCCTGTTTTGCTTTAGCAGCGTTTTTCTCTCGTATCAACTGGGATAGGATGTTCCACTGTTGCTGTATTTGCTTGGAACAAGGGTTTTGAGAAAACGCACGGCGAAACGGAATCGGTGGCGGAGTATGGATTTAGCGCAATACGTGCTAGGTGGCAGCAACGAACACATGGTAACTTGTGTCGGCCGCTGACTCCTATAAACGAGCAGCTTGGTTTTCTATGATGGTGCTTGTTCTGCGGAGAATGCAAATAGCGACAGGCAGGTGGCGGCCGACGACGCGTGCAACTAGACCTGTGCAAATACGCATCACTGCTATGCGGAAGAGCGCAAAACCCGTAGCTCACTGTGCAGCAATCGGGTAGCAGGAGATAAGGCGAAAACCGTGGTACAGGCTGGTGCTGTTCGTCTGCCAAGATTCGTCAAGGTTGTCTGCATCTGGAAGAAGTACAATCTGTGAAAGCATCGCATATTTTGGTTCGAGGTCGGCATATCACGGCAAAGTATCCACAGCACTTTAACATTGGAGGCAGTGGCAACGGGACACTGATCGCCCTCCTGGTTGCACGTGGCGTTTTGCGCAGGCGTTTAGCATTTTTGATTATCGTTTATTTTCCAAGAAGAAGAAACAGTTCCAGTAGAACTCATTATGTAGCCAGCTTCACCTTTTTGCATTTCTTACGCAGCTTGCACTTGTTTCGCGTACCCTTGTTGAAATCCGGTCCGTCTGCTGAAATGGGCGTGCACGGTATCTGGCGCAGACATAGGGAATGTGCATATCTGAGCACCATGCGGTTTTGCAGCTTGTGAGTGCCCGCTTTCTGCTGCAGTGAGCTCATTCTTTCTCTGGCGTTGCGATCGATTTGTGTTCTGGCCAGAAAGCGTGCTGATTTGATCGACCCATTGTTGCATGGTTGCGAAAGGTTAAGCAAAACGTCTTTAGCAAGACTGATGCACGCGAAGAGAATGCATCATCCGTGGAGTTTTGTTTACTGTTACGTTTAAGCTGGTATAGCAGCGGGCACAAATAAGTATACGCATACGTGCAGCTCTATGCAGTCGCAGTGCGAAAAGACGTTGGAGCTTGTCTTTACTAGGCCGTGCTCAGTGCAGGTGTTTAGCGGAGAGGCGCGATCCAGCGTTGCTAGATGTGCTTGCGAGACAGATTTTGGAATTGCAAACGACCTACCTAAATTGATGAGGCAGTATATATGAAGCGCAGTATGTGGGAGGTGAGAGGAGGCCGTGGCGACCACCCGGTGGTTTCTGCCGAACGAACCACCGCGCAAGTCTTGCTTTGAAGGGTGGTACTTGTTTAGCTGTATTTTGCGGGGAGGTGAAGGCTGCGCATGTGTGAGCAGCGTGGCACGATTGACTTTGTGTACGCGCATCCACGGCCGAGGTGGGCAAAGCTTTCTCTGGGGTCAGAATCGCGCGCTGCCTTGTGCAGGATGTACGTCCATAGAAAGGATCTCATAATATTGGAGATGGACGTGGATACGGTTTGATTTCATGCATTGTGATTTCCACCGTAGAAGCGTACGTGTATGTCTGCAACTCGATGGGGCTGCAGTGCGGGAAGTGGTAAGAGTTTGTTTTGGCTTAGCAGTGCTCTTGTTTTGCGTCTAGTGGAGCACAATTCTTTGGCGTTGGGGAATTCGCTTGCACGAGAGGTCGTGGGGGGCATGTGCTTATGCTTTGCGTACATTTGCTAAGCTCTTTCTCTGGTCGGGATATGCACAATTCATGGACGTCATATATCTTCGAGCGCACTCGGCAGCTCACCGCGAAGCGGGCATATCACCCCAGTGGAAAATGCAAGGGCAACGGGAGGCAAGCCGTTGGTCAGCATGCGCATGGTGTTTCCTGCACGTCCTGAACATTGTTGACAGCCGATGCGTTGTCAACAAAGAGCGAGTCGGCATGAACCCTTCCTACATCTAGGTGCAGCGTTTCACAGTTAGCATGACGCTTGTGGTTGGTTCAGTTGCGGTGTCGAGCTCAGCGTCACCTGCTGACAGGAGCGTGCGCACTATTTGGCAAAATGATGAGGGATACGCACGTGTGGTTGTTGTGGGACTAAGGAGTTTGGGTTCGTTCATGTATTTGCCGCGCTGTGAAGATGCTTCTCTTGGCGTTGCGACCCCGCTGTGCTTTGCCCAGCAAGTACGAGATTAGAAGGAAATTCACTTGCTTCGCGCGGGTGGGGTCTCGTTAACGTTGTAGGTTTTTCGATGGCAGGCATGGATGTGCATGCGCATGCATGGAACGTTTCGGAGATGCAGTGTGAACAGGTGTGTGAGCTCATGTTGGTTTAGCCGTGCTCTTGCTGGGTGTCTACAGGGGCGTGGTGTTGCAGCGCTGGAAGGCGTTCGTGCGACGGCGCGCGCCATCACAGGCGACCTCATTAAAGTTGGGACGCAGCATAGCCGCAGCGAGAAAGGCGGTAGGGGACAGCGCTTATAGCAGCCCAGTGAAAAATGCAAGGGCGAAGGGAGGCGAGCGGTCGGTCAGCATGCGCATGATGCTTCCTGCGCGTCCTGAACATTTTTGACAGCCGTTAGGTTGCCAACAAGGTGCGAGTCGGCATGAGCTTCCCTTCCATCAGCCTGCAGCTTTTCGCAGTTAGCATGACGCTTGTGGTTGGTTGACTTGCGCTGGCCGAGCTCAGCTTCAACTGCCGAAAGGCGTGTACGCACTATTTGGCAAGAGGATGAGGGATACGCATGTGCAGTTGTTGTGGGATTAGGACGTTTGCTTTCGTTCATGTATTTGCCCCGCGTTGGAGATACCTCTCCTGACGCTGCGATGCCGCGGTGCTTTGCCCAGCAAGTACGGGATTAGAAAGAAATTCATTTGCTTGGCGTGGGTATGGATTCGGTTATGGAGCGTTGATTTGCAGCGCTGGAAGGCGTTTGTGCGACGGCAGCCGCGATCACAAGTGACCTCACTGAGCTGGCGAAGCAGGATAGGCGCAGCCAGAAATGCGGTAGGAGACGGCTAAGACTACGTGTTTCCCACGATAAGTAGACTGGATTGCCAATCCGGGATCTCACGAGGTAGCCTGTTTACTGAAGACACTCATACCTGAGGAAGACTGCAGCCTAGGGCGCCTTGAAGACAAATCGTAGAAAATATTCACTGCATTTGCATTAAACGGCCAGAG